GCTTGGAAGACATGGTGGGCACTCGTGTTACCATAAGGCAAGAAATCAAGATTGAGAAAGTTCAGTCCATATGAGTTTGGATTTGTCACAAACTTTGGTTTTGACAAATTCACATGGATAGGAATTATACACCCAAAATCTAAGTGTCATAAGATTACCTCCTTCATGAAAATGACTGTGAGGAAATGCTTTCACTAAGATAGATTTTAAGAAGATAGCGATTGTGGAAATTGTATTCTCAAATTCGATTATGGTTACGGCATCCCTCTCCATAGATCGAATTGTGAGATTTGACAATTAGTCTGAACATTTGGGACTTAGTGACATAAGTTCTGAATTTGTCTAGACACACATATGAGCTTTCTAAGGCAAAGGTGTATGATTTTAAGAAGCTTTGATAAAGGCTTATCAAAGCGTTAGGTATTAGAAATATGAACTTAAGGAATTCAATAAGCATTGTTCTCTGGAAGTTTAATTGTTTTCTGAATACATGTCAAAGCTAGTGGGAGCATAAGTGTTATGCTGGTAAGAAAATAATCATCATGTTAGTGGGAGCATGATTATTATGGTAAAGTATTGCGAGTTAGCAATATTAATTATAGAAAACAAAGATTCACTTTGCAAAGTTGTAATGTTTGAAAAGTTGTTTTTCTATAATTAAGGGAGAGAATATTATACTTCATTTCAAAATTCTAAAGCTTAGATCGAGAAACATTAATAAATTTAGTCAAGGATATATAGTGCATTCTCAAATTCGATTATGATCACGGCATCCCTCTTCATAGATCGAATTGTGGGAACAGGACACATAAAATATTATGGCAGAAGGATGATAAAGTATCACGTCTTTATGTGAGACATTATGCATTGTGTCCAATACGCTTCGGGTATAGGATTGATTGCATATGCTGTAATATTTGACCATTCTAAAATTTTCCAAATGCCTAGGGTATTAGGAGGGAAAAAGGATCTAGAATCGGTTCTGACTAAAATAATTAAACAACTATCAAAGGAAAATCAGAGGTTCACTCAGGATTTGTCGCCTGTGAGTAGTTGGAAGTATAGTAATGAATGGGCCATGTCGACATTATTATGAATAGATAAGATTCTATTAAGAATAATTCGTCATATGGCAAATATGGAAATGTCTCCATATTGGGAGTTGGATGTTGAGAGTCTGTGTCTAGATTAGAAACTTTTATGCAAGAAGGATGTTCAAAGGAATGTACTTTGAATGTGAGACTTCACGTCTATGGAATTATCTTGTAATAATTTCCGATAGAGTACTTTGTAATTTCATTTGCCAAGTCTTGGTGACTTTTGTGCTGTGACTTTGCGAAAGGATCGTTGCATAAAATGTTAGAATCTAGCATATTCTAGTAGTTGCAAGAACCTTGTGTTCTAACACTAATAATAGGGATTGGGAATTGTGAAATGAGCATCATTGGAAAGGTTTTTCAATTGATCTATTTCACAAAGTATGGACCATAGGAAACCAAAGTGTGCATGCTTGGAGCATGGGACAATTGTGGTTATAATTCAAGTAATAAGTTGATTTTCTGAAACTGTAAGCAATGAATAATGAGTAATCAATATGGTGTTTAAATAAAAGTGTTTTTTATTTACGCTCAAAAGCTTTGGGGCCATATAGGATTAATATTATTATTGCGTTTCACTTTGCATGTTTTGACTTCCTGAATAATAAGATTATTCAAACTCCACAGTCGCTCGTACTTTTGGAAGTAAGTAGTGAATCAAGACTGTCATGAACTGGATTATAGAATTGTCTAAGGATAGACATGGCAATAGATTTGCTGCAACGTTCATGAGTACTCAGAAATTGAGATTTGAGTATTGGATAAACCCACGCTCAGAGTATTACTTCATGGAATTCATCACGAGTAATACTGAGACGATAATATCTATGATCTTGAAACAGAGATATATGAGTTGTAATTTGCAAGTCGGCTATACATTGGTGATACGAAAACGCATCAGTAACTTGGTGTTATAAAACGTATTGTCATGTATGGTTTGATGAGTAAAAGATACAAGCATATGAGTCAATGTTTATTCGTTCCTTTTGCCCTAACCGGAAAAGCGATATCTGTGGGCCCCTCGATGATTTGGTGTTGACTTATGTGCTGGGCCCAGCCAGGACTAATTGATGTGTTCGATTAGAAGTCCTATATCATCACAAATCAGAAATCGGGAAACATAGATTCTGGACAAAGAGATTGATTGTATTCCATGTCTTATGTCTAGAGATATCTAGTAGAACGAAGGGTCATGTGATCTCTTATCTTAGGACTCGTAACTGATTGGGTCAGAGTTCGGCAGCAGCTTTTTGGAAGCTACAATTTGCTGGTCAAATTTAGAAGGCATACTAGCAATTATAGTTACAGACTTATCCAAGTGGGAGACTGTTGGATTAGGTGTCTAAGCCCATAACTATAATTGGTATATACTTGAATTGATAGCAGCACAGTCCTTTTGGGTTGCCCTCAAACCTAGCAATCGGACAAGGAAATTATGAAAGGAGAGATATTAATTTATTATAAGATTAATAAATTAATATAAATGAATTTATTAATATGTTAAAAGATTAATATATTAATAAGAAATCATTTTGTTTAATTAATTGTTAGCCAGAAATTAATTAGAATTAATTTTGGGGTTAAAAGAATTAATTATAAAGTGCAGGGACTAGTTTGCAATTATCTAATAGTTGAGGGGAAGGCTCCAGAACCTCCTTGGAAGGAGGTGGACGAAATCTATAGGGGAAACCCTAAGGATTTCATCCAAGGGGGCTTGGATAAGGCTTTTGGCTTTGCTTAGGCCCTAAGCAAGGAGCATTAGGGTTTTTCCTAAACCCTAGATCCCTCAACTATATAAGGAGCCTCCTGGTTCATATTTTGGTCACTCTTTCTTTGGAAGAAACCCTTAGGGCCGAAAATTGCATATTCCCTCTCTCTCCTTCTACTTTCCTTCTTGCTAGTTTGGGTGTGATTCCATTAGAGGCATTACACTTGTGGTGCTAAGCTTCCAAGAAGATCAAGATCAAGATCAAGGGAATTATCAATTGTTTACTATAACAATTAAAAGGTATGTAATTACTAAACCCTAGTTTGTTAATTTTGATATTAGCCTCTCTCCTCTAGGGTTCTTGTTTTGCAATTCAAAGTTGTATGTTCAATAGATAAAACATAGATCCAAAGTAGGTTGCATGTGAACTTAGGAATTGTTTTTCTAGTTTATTTGTTTTACCTAAAACCCATCACCTGTCCCCTCTCGTCGATTCTAGCAAGAGCTTAACGAGTTCACCTTCAACAACACTTCAGTCAATCTTCAACCGACTCACCGAGTTCTTCCTTGAACTCGTCGAGTTCATCTTCAGCATATGAGTGCGTCCAATTTATGACTCGCCAAGTTGTAAGAACAACTCGTCGAGTCCATCTTCAAAGATTGGGAGATTGCCTTGGACTCACCGAGTTTGTTCTAGCACTCGTTGACTCCCATGATTCCCATGTCTCTTAAGAGCCCAAACAACCGAGAGACCTTACACACTCTCATCTAGTCCATCGACAAAAGGGATTTGGTGGTCATTACACCCCGACTCGCCGAGTACATCCTTGACCATTACTATACAGTCAATTTAAATGGGTCTTAACACATCAAAACTATAGATCTGGCCTCCTAATGTCCATTTTACACGTAAAGCCTCAAGCTTGGTGCACATGCATAGGATCATTGGCTCAAAAAGCTATAAAAGATGGTCTACAAGATGTATGGGGTGTTTATGGCGACAAAGTGGGCACCTTTGTGCCAAAAAGACCCCCAATGACCCTAGATCTGAAGCACAAACTCACTTCTTATACTCAATCCTGAATACATCCTTACTAGGGCTTAGAAAGATGAAGAAAAAGTCCAAAATCAAGATCTAGACAATGAATAGACAAGGTTTCAGCTTTATACCTCTAATAAGCTGGAAATATGCTCAAAACTTTGGATCTTCTTGTTTCCCCTTGATTTCACAAGCCTCCTTCTACTCTTCAAGCTTCAATCAAAAAAAGTAACACCACAAGGCTCAAGAACACACTAAAAACGGCTAGGGTTTCGAGTTAAGGTTTGCTCTGGACGATGGGGGCTGAGTTGAGGGGTTATAATGTGTTTAAATAGGGTGCAAACCCTTAATTTAGCCAAAAGAGGACCATAGAGTAAATCACTAAGAGAAAAAATGGAATTAGCGGCGCCATTGCCGGTAAAAAGTCATTCATATTGCTCTGTCGCTATTGCTTGAAATCACGCCGGTAAAACCATGTCGCTGCTAATGTTGTTGTAGCCCATAATAGCCTATGTCGCCACTAATGCTATTGTCACCTGTAATTCCTTCTATGGCCGGTAATAACACTTTTTTTTAAATCAACGATGTTGGGTGCCAAAAAACCGATACATAATAACCAAGTTTGTAAAAATCGCTTGACGGTAGCTCGGCGGTGGACTGGGGTCAAGCGATTAATCGGCTAGGCGGAGATTAATCGGGGACCATTAATTATTAAAAAATTAATAAATAAAACATTAATCCTAAGAATATAACATTATATCTATTTAAAAGTTACTAAAAATTAATAATATAACATTATAACATGATACTATGATTACAAAAAACCTTTTGATCCTTAATACATCAGATCTAAATAACCAACAATTGCATTTGGATCCAAGTCTGCATAAAATGGGGAGAAAAAAGTGTTATGAACAATGGGTTCCAATAGCATTGGGAAGAGATGTGGACCTACAACCTGTTGTCTACTGCATTTGGAACTTTGTGAATGTTGAGGGAATTCAATAGCAGGAGGCTGTGGATATGTGGGAATTCCATGATCAATTATTCCATCCTAATTATTGCTATATAATACACAGGAGGTGGCGACTGTTGTAGAAGCTTTATAAGGCGGTTTAGCTTCAAGGATGACGACTGACGGAATACGACGACGTGAATGGAAGAAAAAGACAGTGTCATAGGAGGGAAAGACGGCATCGAAGAAGAAGATGGCGTCGTTTTAGAAGCTTCAGTTCATGCTTTCTTTCATTCCTTCAGACTACAGAGAGAATTTCAGAAAAGAAAAGAAATGAATGTGATGGAGTGAGAAGAACCCTAGCAGCAATTCTAATAATTTTACACTTTTTCCCTTGAAGTTTTTTTTTACCGATTAGGACGCCTAGGTCCGCCTAGACCCGATAATCTTCGTCTTTGACCGATTTTGACCACGTCTGATAATAGGGTCCGATTAGCTATAAACGTCAATGGTGGAGGACCATCAAGCGCCTAGGCGCCGATTAATCGGCCGCCTAGGCCGATATTTGCAACACTGATAATAACAATAAATGCAGAAAAAATTACATAATAACATCCGATTAGGTACAAAATAGTGTTATAATTAATTTCATACCAAAATAAACAACCAAAGTTTTATAATTCCAATAACACTACTAGAAAAACAGCCTTTTACGACACGCAATTTATGATACACAAAAGTGTGCGGCCTAAAAATAATGTCATCTCTTTGTAAATTTTAAGGATTTAAGACGTGTATTTTTGCGTGCCCTTAAATTAGTGTCTAAAAAAACACGGAGGGTGCCTATAATAACATGTGTGTCGCCTGAAGGCGTCGCTTTATAAATTTTAATGGAAACACGCGTTCCATCATTTAATAGCCGGGGGGGGGGGGGGGGGGGGATGGGGAAGGAAATGAAATCCAAAAAAATTAAAAAGCCCGCCTCCCTTTTTCTTCCTTTCCCTCTTGCCCTAATTATCGACGCTCCTTCCAAGCAGTCGACAACCTTCGTACTCTCATTTTCCTTTTCTCTGTAAACGACTCTTCGATTGGCTCCGGTTAAAAATTAGATGTGGGTGTATAATCGCAACTTTTGATCTTTTGGTTTTGGTTGGCATTTGTGTCTGTTCAGATGTCTTCCAATCTACATTGGACATCGACATCGTTACTTGCCATTCTGGCTAGGTCGTCGACGTCCATCAAGGCAAGCACGCCACCAACCAACAACCTTCACTCTCTCATTTTCCTTTTCTCTGTAAACCCTAATCTGCCTCCACCAGTACCGAATCTACCTCAACTCACCTCTAACCTTGGCTCATCTCTTTCTGATCGCTGCTAATGAACCTATTTTGTGTTTAATTTGGGAGCAAATCGCAATTTAATTTGTACACTGGAAGCCTAGATGACAGGTCCGACGCGGTGGCAGCGTTTGTCTCGCTTGCGAGAGACAACGATTGGTATGGGAAGTTGGTAATTGAAGAAGGTGGAGACAATCCGTTGCTGAAATTGGTGAAAGAAGGGAAACCAAAAGGTTAGGAGAATGCTGCGTCTGCAATCGGATTGCTACGTCGTGATCCTGAGAGCGTTGAACACATGATTCACGTCGGTGTATGCTCGATGTTTATTGAACATAGATAGTCAGTCTACGCATCTTGATGAAGGTAAACTGCTTTGTTTTCATGTATTTGGAGGAGTTTTTATTCATTACAAAGGCCTCTATTTTGTCAAATATTTTAGAAAGAAGAGGGATTGATATATCAATACACATGATAAACTTGAGATTTAATTTGCAGTGACAAGACTGAGGGCTATTAGGCAAAGCTTTATCGATCAAAATCGTAGGCTTAGGAACTGGAGGTGTGGAGATCCATGTGTATCAAATTGGACTGGAGTCCTGTGCTTCAGCAAAACCCTAGACAATGGTTATCTTCATATTCGAGAACTGTAAGATATTAAATCTCCAATTTATATGATTATAACTAAAAGTTTTAAAGCGACAATATATAACTAGAACATCTAAGTCTGTGTGTGATTTTTGTAGGCAACTACTGAATCTCAAACTTTCTGGAACTTTATCTCCAGAAATAAGGCGATTATCTTATATGCAAATATTGTGAGCCAAGTTCCTAATCTCACCTACATTACTTTGTTTCCTTTTTCTTGATAATCTTTTGTAATGCATATAACATATTTGCTCTTGATCTTAAAGGGATATCATGTGGAACAACATAGGTGGGAGTATACCAAAAGAGATAAACCAACTTACATCATTGAAATTCTTATAGCTTTATTTCCTTTTTCCTGTTTAATTAATTAATGAGTAGATATTGAACCATTCAAGGTAATCTGTAATTATGTGCATGCAGGCTTTTAAATGGAAACAATCTAACAGGCTCCTTGCCAGAAGAGATTGGGAATCTCCCCAATTTGAACCGCATACAAATCGACCAAAACAACATATCTGGACCAATACCTGTCTCATTTTCAAAACTGAACAACACAAAGCACTTGTAATTTTATTATTATTTGTTCCTATATTTTTATTTTCTGATTTCTATATGATGACTACTAGTATTATCATATGTGGGTTTGTAGTCATATGAACAATAATTCACGTTGAAGGAAGTATACCTTCCTCTTATGGCAACATGCTTCAATTGGCCAAGTTGTAAGTGTAGTTTAAGTTTTAATAAACTTTAGTAATGATGAATTTCAATACATAACACTCTAATCCAAGATTACTTTTGGTGTTGCAGAAGTTTTAGGAATTGCAACTTGCAAGGATCAATCCCTGATCTTAGCAGGACACCACATCTTACTTATATGTAAGTATGAAATAAATCTTGAATGTTTTGGAGTACAGTCTTTTTTAAGTTGTTAGTTTGATGACAATTTATATAATTTAGAGACCTGAGTGATAACAATCTTAATGACACGGTTTTACTTTTCATATTAATCAAACTCCTTTCATTTCACTGCTATTATTATGTATGGGAGCAATTTACTTTCCTTGAGCAAAAGATCAATCGGATTTAATATTAGTGCCATATTAGTCTTGGGTTTTTTTTCCATCCGTGCATGTTCCAGTTAGTGCTTATTAACAATTTAGATGCAGCCCCTAAGACGAGATCATAGTAAAGTATGACTAAATGATGCATATACTTTCTTGGATTATTGACTTATCTTTTTCTTGACTAAGTTTCAAGCTACATTCCTTTTACATCTCTCAGGCTTGTTTTTGACCACGAAAGGGAGGATCTTTTCGGATGCCATGATGCCCATATTCGTTGTATCGAGTACTCTTATGCAACTGGTTAGTTTCATTTTTTTCATCATTTCTTTTTATCTTTTTTTAATTCTTTTTCTTGTTAAAGGTGTGTGACATGTTGGTGGTTTTAAGATTTATTCAGATATGCATTCAAGTGTCATAGGAAATCAGAAGCTGGAAGAGACATTGTTTACCCTGTAAATGCCATTGCATTTCACCCTGTGTAAGTTATTTCTTTTTTTAGTTAGTTAATACTTAATATCTTTACCTTTTATACTAAATAAATATATACATTTATGTAAACACTTCAAATATAATAAAGAATAAGTTACATTTTGGTCCTTAAGTATAACTGGTTTTTTCAATTTCGCTCGAGTTTTTTGTAACGTTTTTGGTCCCCGTTCCAAGAAAATGTCTATCGAGTAAATTACATTTTTGGTCCCTGAGTTTGTTCAAAGTTTACATTTTTGGTCCTTACACAATTTTGGTGTCTATTATGTTGTGGAAATGATTTTGGTCCCTGGGTTTGCTAAAAAAATTATGTTTTTACTAGTTTCCTCTTGCACATTGATGGTTACAAGTTGATAACGAGAACATTGTTCTAAGACCATCTACTAAAGCAAGGTTGGTGTAAGAGTTGATGACGATAACATTGTTCCAAGATCTTCAATGAGTTATGATGATGTCCCTTAATAGCAATGTAGTATTAGGTTATATAGTTAGGGATGATTATTTGCATTTGACATGTTAGTGCAATGAATTATCTTTCTTATTTATTGTATTTTATATTGTATTTTGTATGACATTAACTTTTGTGCAATGGATTGTATTTTTTGTATATGGTATTTTAGTTTCTATTATGAGAAATGAAATGCAAATTTAATTTGAAAATTAATAAATCTATAAATAATTTTTTTTTAAAAAAAAAATTACGATACGCAAAAATGTGTGTCATCTTCATTAATGACATGACCTTTCTTGACAGCGGCTTTAATGATACGCATTGCGTGTCATAAATGTACGTTGTAAATGCGCGTCGTCTCTCGTTATGATCGGACCTTCCTTGACGCGCATTTGCGTGTCGTCTGAGCGTCGTAAAAGGCTGTTTTTCTAGTAGTGCAAGTACCGAAGTGTCATCACAAGTCTAAAATAGAAAACACAAACTAATTATCCGACGAACCATCATCTCCGTTCCCATCGATTCCTCCTTGATCTTTCCCCGATAGAAAAAACGCATAAAGTTCCTCCCTATACGTCGGGTCGTTGAGAATTTCCCGTAGATTTTCCAACTACATAATAAATAACAACATATTTAAACTTATAAGTTAAATAATTAAACATAAACAAAAACTACCAAATTACATTGCTATATCTTGCATTTAAATACAAGAAATACCAAAAGTACATTGTTATATCTTGTACTTGGGACAAAAACACAATTACCAAATCAACATAAATTTATTTGTGCCAAACTACATTGCTATTTTTAAACTAGGGACAAAAAAACCAAAGTACATTGTTATTTCTTGCATTTAAAACATAAACACAATTACCAAATCAACATGCATTTATTGATCATTATATAGATACACGAGACTTTGAAATTAAATAATCTACTCTTTTTACGCTAAATAACCTTAAATACAAGAAATACCAAAGTACATTGCTATTTCTTGCACTAAAATACATTAAATACTTAAAAAATCATTGCTATTTCTTGCACTTTGGACAAAAACATAATTACTAAATCAACATGCATTTATTGATGCCAAAATACATTGATATTTTTAAACTAAAACAAAAAAACCAATTACCAAAGCTTTTAGCAAATAATCATCACAAACCAAAATTACCAAATCAACATGCATTTATTGAAATTAAATAATATTGTTTTACTTGTGATGGCTATGATGACTATGGTGGTGGCTGTGATGGTTGTGCAGTCGGCGGGATAGCAGAAGGTTGTCGGTCGATACATGTGATATGGCGAAGCCGTTCACATAATAGGCGGGTGTTAACTCACATTCTCCTTCTGGCCTTTCCGTTTGTTCTAAGAGCTCTTCCACTAACCGATTTTGTGTTTTCCAAAAGTGAATAACAATTAAGTATAAATAAACACTTAATTATATGATAAAAATATAATAAAATGCTTACGTATTGTTGTTCTGCCTCGACATTAACAAATACATCATTCTTATCGGTATGAGCCTTGCAGAACGTTTCTACTCTCTTCATGTTATGTTTAACATGAAAAATTAGATTATATTTTAAATAAATAATAAAAATTAGATATTTTAAAAAAATAATTACATATCGTACGTTACCTTTTTATAGCAAGTACTGCTATACGAGCTCGACCCCCCACGGTTCACGGTCATTTGCTATCCACAGATTTTTTGTTCCCTTCTGAAGAAGTTGTTTAGAAATACTCAAATGTTTTTCTCGAATTATCAACCTCCATATCACATGGGGATGGGGTGGTTAATGCTCTTGAGATATCCTCATACCCTCCGGCTTTCAAAAAATATTCTTTTGCATCAGCTTTACACTCTCGCCAACCTTTTAACAAAGCCGCTTCAAAACTCTTTAACAACCTAGTAGCATCTGGATCCCGAGACATCCGATCCAAATCAAACTTCGTCTACAAAAACAACAAAAAAGAAGTTATCCAAGTAAAAAACCAGTCATAATTAACCATATAAAATATTCTTATATAAATAATGTACCCCTAAATACTGTTTTATTGTATCATTTATATTGGGCGAAACTTTTTTCCATGTCCACTTATCAAAAGGGACCATCTGTCACATGATTTTCCCAACTTCGCGTGCAAACATGTCCTTTGGCTCTCCTACATGATCATATGTTATATCCCTATCATAGTCTATGTCAATCAGTTTGCCCTAATTGTTTAAGAGCGCTCTTCGAGCTTAATGTTATTTACTTTTCCTCATACTCTCCTGTATGGAACATCATACACAGCTACAAATATAAGAAAAAATTATTAGAAACAATATTTTATAATAACTAAATAAAAAAAGTAAATAAAAATTCATAATAAGATTTATCATCCTGCTCATGATGACCAACACCTCTACCGCCTGGGAAAAGTGGGTCCTGGGCTCCATCGCCCCCATGTCAACGACCCATAACAGCAACCATGGTGTACAAAAACAAGAGCCATATCGATGCCATTTCCTGAAAATTATAAGACATACAAATACATATTCTATTATAAATACACATTACATAGGAATAAACATTTATGTTTAAACTAGGAATCCAAATAAAGTTTCTATTACAAATACGCATTACATAAGAACTATTCTAATCATAATCTTCCTCATATCCTTCGGTGTCATCTTTGATATCATAATCAGAACCAGTCTCATCATAATTAGTCTCACAATCAGAAACATCATTAACTCTACCATTTGGCGGAGGAACTTAAGTTGCACTCTCTACATCAACAACGAATTTAGGCATGTTTTGAAAGTGTATGTTGAAATCGATAAAAAGTGGAGCATTGGATGATGACATATTTTGAACTACGTCGACATTGTCAACATTTTCGTGCGATCCATTGTCAACATTTTAGACAGAGTTATTGTAAACAAGTTGGAAACGATCATCATTCGATGGTAGATCCCAAGTACTCTGATGATTAATTCGCGTCGTGTGTTGATACGGGTGAATTTATCACCCAAAAAATAACTCTTGTTTGAGTATCAAACCACTTGCGTCGAAATAGTACAGTTGAATAATCATGTGTATTCCACAACTCTATAATCTTTTCTAATTTGCCAAAATATTTCTCGCATTTCTCATCCGCCTTTAAACCCAAGAGTTTTATGTTGTGCGTTGTGTGTCATGACTAAGTACCATAAACCTAACACCGTTGACTATGCATGCGGTGTAAGTACAAGCATTCATTTGCGGACCCATTGCAAGAGCCGAAAACTCTTTGTGGAATTCTGTAGAGTTTTATGTTTTCATTTGATGAACCTAACAAATATAAAGTAAATGTAATATGTATTCTTTAGATCAATGAAACAAATTTCTTTTATAATTTGTTTTACCTTTTCACGAAACCAATTAGTAAATTCGCTCTTTTCACACTTTGGGGATGTTCATATTTAAATTTCCTACGTTGACGAAAAAAAAGATATAGAATTCATAGATGTAAAAAGATTAAGAGATAAAAATTGAGGATGAAAGTTAAAGATAAGAACAGTCACTTTGATATACTGTCTGACTTCTTCACCGCTATTCAGTACAAGCCATTCCATGTTACTCATTTACGTTAAATTAAAAGTTTTGATTAGATTTGCGCTGGTCAATTGTCATTTAGACTCAAACATCCAAACCTTTGTTTTTTCAACGATGACATCTTCATTTCTTTCAGGGCGATTGAATTGATTTTTCACATCTCGAAGGTCCATCGAAGAAAATGATAAAGCTTCTCCAGTAACATAACCCTCAGTTATAGAACCTTTCGGCCAATGTAACATCCCGTTTAATTTAAAATAAAATAAGTAAAATAAATAAATAAATAATAAAACCTAAAACACCAAGATGTATTATATTATGTTAGCTCCAAATCCGTAAGAATTTATCAGAGTATTAGCATAATGAGTTAAATGTCATAAATTCTGGAAATCAAGGGATAAAGTGTAACTTTTGGACTAGTTATGAATAGATTTGTGGAAGTTGGGTGCGTTTTGGTAACTTTTGGACTTTAATTGAAAGAATTTTTGGAAGCAGGAGGCTATAGAGTAAATTATGGATTTAATTTCAAAACCATCTAGGAAGGAGGGACTGAAAGTTTAAAAATGGACATAAGTTTGAAATGAAGGAGAAGGGGCTAAAACCCATAACCCCTTCCCTTGGCCTTTAGTTTAAACGGTTCCACAAACCCTAACCCTAAATTGTTTTGCAGCTGCCACCCTTATCCCTCCATATCTCCATCCGCCGCCCTGACCTTGTCACTGCCTTGCATCATCGAGCAACCGCTGCTGTTCCTACTGTCGGCGAAGACGAGAGTCGTGAGCGCAACGTCGTGTCAATCGGGTAGATTGAAAGAACGAAGCTCTTGGATGTTGCTACTGTCGTTCTTGGTTAAGGGTTGCATAACCATTCTCTTCTCCGATCCTTCTGTTGTTCATTTGCGTCGCCGCCGCTCCAAGCGAGTGTCCCATGTGCCAACATTTTTCCGACTGTCGATGCCACCGTGAGTGGGTGGCTGTATTGTGTGTGTTTTCGCATGTGAGTGTGCGTGTTTCAGTGTATGTTGGTGTGTGTGTGTGTGTGTGTTTGTTGGACGAAAAACAAAGAGAAATCGACCATGGCAGCGGACCATGATGGCTGTCGTCGTTCTGTCACCACTAGCCACCACCTCAGGTGGCTGTATACGTACGTGTATGTTTGATTGATGTTTCATGAGAACCGGATTGATTTGGATAGTGTTTTGGCTTAAAATTTTATAACTCCCGCCATTAAAAGTGCTGGTTGTTGCCTCCCGCCGCCATGGACCACCGTCGACCACCACTTCCTAAGGTGCTAGTGGGTGGTGCCCGACTTACTAAACATTAGATAACCTAAGCATCTAACCTTAGAACGAGTGGCACGCTGTAACGTCCCAATAATATGACCTAAAATTTTCATTTTTTAAATTTATAAAAACAGTATTCCAAATATCATCATAAAATCTCAAGTGTGACAAAGTATATCGATACATCATAAAATACTAGAGTAGTCATGTAAATGCGGAACAATCTCATGTGTGCACCACAATCACCCCGAGCTCTTTCGCTTAGCACCATAAGTCCCTAAAAATAAACTGAAAATCGTAAGCACAAAGTTTAGTGAGTTCCACAGAATACCCCATACCACACATATCAAACATATATTGGGCTCGCGCCCTTCATCGGGTCTCACCTGGCGTCGAGCCTTGCTCGGTTTACAGATGTGTTAGTCATCAATCCCCATCTGTGATACATACAAGCATATAAACATAACAACATATATCAAAGACAGTAATCACTAAGGTAATAAGATGCACGATAGTGATCGGGCCCCGCCCGGCATCGGGTCTTTCCCGATAAATACATATACATAACACATGCAATAATCTCAAAGATAGATATCATACAAAACGGTCATCGAGTCCCCGCCCGACATCAAGCCCCGCCCGGTAAACATATAATCCACAAAACCTATGCAAGAGTCAGGCAGACATCATGTGAAATATAAATGCATGAAAAAAATCATGTTAACACAAAAGGTGACTAAGAAAAAAAAACAATTAGAATATATAAACCATCTTTGGCTCACAAGTTTTTAGTTGTGAAAAATGATGATCTATGAAAGCACCACGATGAAGACTCCCTATATGTATTCCAAATGCATAATATTCCTATTCAGTTTCTCTTTATGTATTAAAAATCGTGTTACAAGAAAAAAAACCAAATATCCAAACCACATGAAACACAATAAGGGAACAATAAGGAGGAAGAAGACCCTCTAAGGGTAAAAATGTCCAAATAGATAGTATCTATCCTACCATGTGTAAAAAATCACCTTTGTTTGCACCTACAACTTGTGTAAATTATTGCTACAGAAAAGTAGTTCATCAAAATTTTAAACACCCAAAAATGATAAAACTCATAAACCTTCTAACATATTTCAATGATTTGAGTAACAGATGCAAGGAACATAAGATATTTTAATGATTTGACTAATCAGTCATCTAGACTTAAAAGGGATCAAGAGTTTATAGGTAATTAAGTATTCATTATATTTGATTAAGTAGTGTGTGTGACTGCGTGTGTATACATTTTCATAGATGAGGAAAGCCATAAACCACTTGATATATAATTGAAAAGTACTCTAGAAAAAAGCTTAAAACGTAAGTACAGATAAGAAAAATAAAATAACGATGAACGGAAATGAACCGATTTTGTGCCAATTAAATTCACCCAATCCTCTTCATCTAAACTCAATCACAGGTCCTTCTTCCCCTTATTTATTTATCCGAGCCCTCTTTCCACGTGGGTGTGTTTGTCTCTCGGTAAAAAAACAAAATCGAAGGTTTTAAATTGGAATTTGCAGATGAACAGGTCGACGGTGGAACAATCATATTTTTTTTAAATATCTTTGAAGCCTTTCTCGATGTTGGGCGACGATGGTGGATCGGTGGTGTCTGATGGTGATGGTCAGCGAATGAGTCCAGCTCCGACCCTCCTGTCTTCTTCGATCACATAGTTTCTTATTTCTGTTTCAGAATGGAGATGATGACAGTGGTAGTCGGCAGCCAATAAGATGATGACGGTTGTGGACGATGGTTTTTAGAGAAAGACGGGGAAATGGTGGTAGTGTTATAGGGTTGTAAGACTATTAACCTGATCAATTATAGTGTAGATTACTATTATACCCTCATATTTATTATTAATGATTTATTTTTTCTTAAGTTCTCTTTGGTTTGTAGATACATTTTATATAATTTTGCTGAATTTTTTTTTCACAAAAATAACCAAAAATTTAAAAAAATAAAAACAATAATAATAAAAATAAAAAATAATAATAGATATTTTAATTTTTTTTCAACGATTTTTAAGAATATAGAGTAAAAAAAAGATTTGTGATGTCTAAGTACTTTTTATGCATTTTTATGATTATTAGGATTTTTTTTTGAAGGTTTTTATGTTTTCCATATAACTCTTCCTTCCATATATATATATATATATATATATATATATATATATATATATATATATATATATATAAAATAAATCTCAATATTTCTAAAAATAGATTGAATATAATAATAATATATTCTATGATGACCGAGTCTTGTTGATGAGTATCTATGATCATCTTCCCTAATGTTACAACGCATCATAGAATCACATCTATTTTCTTTCAGTTAAACCCTAGCCGTCATCACCAACACCACCCATCTCCTTATTCCATCCTCCCATCCGCGACCTTCACCACTGTTCGACACAGATTTTGCTACCATGAATAAAGTTGAGGGGGGCTTTGTTGCTAATCCATTATAGACTGTTTAGTTTTCGTTTTTGTTCATTTTTTACCTTTCTGTCTACAAACTTAACCACCAGCCACGGCCAACAGCATAACTAATGTACCATATTGGCTACATCACCAAAACACCATACCACACCAAGTTACCATATTTGTTGAACATTGTTTGACATCTATACCTTTTGTTTCTTTTTGGTTTTATTTTCATACTCTTATGGTCCATTCCAGTTTATTTTCTTTTTAGTGATTAATCAGTAACAATTTCATCCTAAAGGTAAGATTAGAGTGACATCAAGATCGATTTTGTAACGTTCGCAGTTTCGGGCTAGTCAATTTAGAGACGATAAGCATCAAAAATGACTTTTTAATAGAAGATTAATTAGAATAAATAATCTTTACCAAGTTATAGTATATGTCACAACGTTTCCGTACATATAAAGAACGCCAAAATCCGAGTTATAATGAAGAAGTCATGACCTGTCAAGTTTTACGGCAAAACCGACATGACATCGGGAGATATAAATAGTGAATTTATGATAGGGGACTTTTTAGCCTTAGTGGTCTAAATAAAAGTTGTAGTATACGTTAAAATGGGAACATACAAAAAAAAAGAACGCCTAAATCTGACTTCGTATGAGGAAGTTATGAATTTTCTAAGATTTGGCATAGAAGTGCACGACCCGAAACTCAAATTTTAGATCGAGCAGTTCTTGGCCTACGCGACCTAAATGGGAGCTGAATATCTCATTAATAGGAACTCAACGATAAAAAGACAGACGAAAACGGAGTCCGTATGTTGAAGTTATGAATTTTACATGAACATTTAACAGTATAATCTCCCTCTACTAATAAATTTAATATCAGTTAAGAATTAGCCAACGGAGTCTAAATGAAAGTTTTAGATCTTGTTTTTAACTACGCGTGGATATAAAGAACGTCATAAACGGAGCTCGTATGTGAAAGTTACGGGTTTTAGAAGATAATTAGTTTTTGGGGTAATCTGCAAGTGACACGTGGCGCAATCTGGGCCACACCTTCTTCCCCACGGCTTAGAACAAGATGGAGAAACGTGGCAACAAACGCCCTGCATTCGTCTAGGGAAAACACCGCGTTTATGAATGAGCTGCATTCGTCTAGGGAACACGTTGCGTTCGGACCGAACTCAGCCTATAAATAGAGGCGTAAATCACTCCCAAAACTCACACCTTCACCCTTCTTTCTATCTCAATACTCCAAACCACTCATCCCCAATCCCTAGTAACTTCCAAGTGCTAGAGGAAAACCCAGAGCGCCAGAAGGCTCCGAGAAGAAGAGCTTTTTGGCTCGGGAACGCTGCTCCAACGAAGCCCGGTTTTGCGAAAAACCCGCTGTAAGTGAGCTACGCCTACCATATCATTAGTATATCTTATCTTTTAATATAGTAATGTTATTAGGACATTATAATAAATATTTGGGATATTATTATGAGATATATAAGTGTCGTTATAATATCTTTTAACCACTCGTGGTACGGGGAATCTGGTTTAAAGGGTCGCATAGGGTTGTTGGATTTCAGAAGTGCTATATACCAAAATGGTCCTGCCCTCCGGTGTTTTATGTCTGGCCCCTGTCTGTATATAGTGGTTGAAAAATATTTTTTCCGTGCTTATATAATAGTAATAATAGCAAGACTATTAATTAGTCTCGGTGAATATTAGACTAAACTCTAGTGGTAATGATACTAGGTTTTGACAAAGGAAAATTGTGTTAAGAGTAACGAAGTGTCGTCCGAGTGCCGAGTCACCACCTTTTCAAGTGAGTGCATGGTCCCTTTCATCTTACACATAGATATGAAGTATTTTATATAAACTATGTGCTATGTGTGCATATTATTTGTATACTTGCTATCTATGCTGGATGAACGATTTTATACAAGTTTTATATGATTTAAACTGTATATGTATTTATATCTACATAATATGTTGGGTAAAACATGGGTAAATGAAATATGAGTTGGATGATGAGATGAGAGGTGATATAGACCATGAGATAAGGGTGAGAGGTGAACAATGAGAGAAGCCTTTTACCCAAATGATTGACCCGTCATCTAGCAAAGTATGGATGACAACCACAAACTATTCTAGACAGTCCAGTGGAACACTAGCAGGCTCACAACCTGTAGGTGATGTGAACAATGTGTTCACCCGGTGTA